TGAAAAGTTAAAAATAAAATAAGAAATAAGATAAATACATCCAATATGTGATTTATTCTTCTTACATGGAAAATACTAAAAAAATAAGATTTTTTTGCAACATATTTTAAGCAATTTGCAGCTAAAGCTATTGATATAAAATATTGATATGATAATGAACTACGATGATGAGCTATAAAATTATTATAACTCTAGTTATGTGCAAGATGAGTAGATTCGTGTCAAATCCAAGATAGATACAATTGAAACGTTGTGAACTGAATTTCAATGTTTATCAAGAATACTAGAGATTATAGTTTTTTGTTTGATAATTTGTTAAAAATGCCAAATATTTTTTATGACTCATTTATGATGACTATGAATAATCTTCAGATTGAAAAAAATATAACTTGATATGTTTTTACAGTTAATGATAAATATATAAGTGAGCTCATACTTTACAAAAGTGCATAATTTACTCAAATATAAAAGCTGAATATGTCATTGTAGCAAAAGTAGCAAACAAGTAGATTTGTTAAGAAAATTTTATCATCAAGATAGTATTAAAGCAATTTAATGTCTATCTTTATTGTAATAATTAGAATGCATCACATAATGCAAAGAACAAAATGATGAATATCACAATGAATTACATTGACATTTCCTTATGTGGAAAAATTGAATCATTGATAACAAGATTGAGTTTGTCAAGAATCATGATAAATAAATGATCAATGAAGTTGACGCATAGACTTGATAGACCAAAATTGTTTTAGATTGTTTTATAAAACTTCTACTATCTTTTTTTGTCTTTCTATCTTATCTTATCTTACTCACTTAAAGGTTAAAGTTAGTTTTAGTTACAAAGTGATTTAAGTGAGTGTTTTTTAAAGATTATTTTTAGAATAATTATTTTTATATAAAAATTATAGATCTCAAGACATGAATCAAGTGAGATTGGTATTAATTAATAAATATTAATAGAAAATTTTAAATAAAATTTTAAATTTTTTTTACATCTTCTTAAAAAAATTTAATTTTTTTCATAGTAAAATATATGTGTTTTTGTGGATGTTGTTTTAATAAAATTGAACTAGACATTTTTGCGTCAACTCATTGCATCATTGTGTGTGAGTGAAATCTTTCTATTAGTCTCTACATTTGGCTCATTTATTTTTTTAATTATAATATAGAATCATAATAATAGCTTTATTTTCTAATAATAATAATTTTAATAGAATTGCAATTATCGATTATTTTTTTTAACGTAATCAAATTTCAAAACTTGAATCGAAATTTTTTTTGGATCAAATTTATATTTCATTTTTATGTAGATAACAATAATTTCATAATCTTATAAAATTCAACAACACATATGAAAATATAGCAAGGAGATTCATATGAAAAAAGTAATCAAAGCACTAAGAAGTAATTAAAGAAAAAACTTGACTTATACTTGAAATTTGCATATGATATTAAGATTTGATTTTAATAAGATGAAACTATTCAATAATTCTCAAACAAGTGCAAGGTATCAATCATTTCAAGTATATTTGAACAAATGAGATTTATTTTAAGTTGAAATGAACTAAATTTATATGCTTAATTTTTTTGTTTTTTTAAATAAAATTTGAAAATCTTTCATTCAATTTAGTATAAATTATGGAATCATCGATATAAAATGCTTACAACAAAAATTGTACATACTTTTTTATGATTTGTACAGATTGAAAGAGATTTCTGCAAAAATAGCTTAAATTATTGATGAATGTTTCAAAGCGATTTGATGATCATTAATATTTGACATTAAATTTTGATTATTACATTTTTTTAAGTGTAAAACAATTGAATAAAAAATAAAAAACTAAATTTTCTACTCATTTAATCCTGATGTTAATAGTCTATCTAAATATCTTCAAGTTTTTTACGTTGAAGTAAACACCAGTCAAGTTGAAATATCTAAAATAAAAATAAAAATAAAAATCATAGAAACACAGAAGATGTGTACAACAAAACTAGAATATTAAATTCAATGAACATAAATTTTTTTCCTCTTTCAGAAAAAATGAAAAAAGTTAGCAACGTTCTATTAAAAAATATTTTTTTAGGAATTTGTTTTAGTTTTTTACAAAAAAATTACATTATTTATATTTTTACCTAATGAATCAATTTCAGAATTAAAAAATATCACTAAATTTCATAATTCAAAATGAATAGAATATTTTTAAATAACATTGAGGAATTTATGATGTTATCTACACAATATAATTGATGAATATAAAAATATTTATGCAATTCATTTTATATCTTCACGAGAATATGTTATCAATGTAGTTATTTAAAATTGATGTGTATGTTATGTATGTATAAAAAGATGAACAGAGAGTTGCATTATAATGTACTATATATATTTATCATGTCAACAATCCTTATGTTTGATGTATAGATGTCAAAATTTTTTGTGTTTGATAGACAAAGATTAGAAGACACATCAACAAAATATGTATTTTGATTGAATAAAGATTAAATTTGTTAATTATTACGTTATATGCAGGATACTTGTCAACAATTATATACATATACATTATTTTTTATTTACTAAATGTAGACTGGATGGGAATTAAATTCTTATATTTATGAACTAGTTAAATAGATATATGTAATGACAATTGAACTATACTATACAACTCTCATCTTCATAATTCTGTTTCATTTTTGAATGAGATATTGTCGTAATTCTCAATGTTAGAAAAATTAAAATTTAAGAATATTAAAAAATGGTTGAAATATTTAAATAAATCACAAAGATAAATCATATGAAATTAATATTGATATTTTCAAATTTACATGATTCTCAAATTCGGGTAGAATCCGAATCCACCCACGGAGATCCAAGATCGTGAGGGAACAAGAGTGAAGCAATGGCAAGGGAGAATCAAGAAATTGGGGTTGCGAGTATTTTCTTGACGAGGAGGCGATACGAGAATTTTTTGAGGAGGTAGGACGAGCAACCTAGGCCAATTTTCAACTTGTTTGTCATAAATTTAATTACAAGCAAACAACTTGCAAACATTTGTAGATCCACCTGAGCATCGAGCATAGTTTCAAGAATTAGCGAGTTATATTGATGTAGTAGAAAATATTTATATGTAATTTCATGAATTCGTAAGATCAAGTAGATGGAACTCACAAGACAAAAAACATCACGCTTTGTGCATTAAGTTATCATAAAAGTTAGAAAGATCTGTCAGTCTTGGCATTTTGATGTATCTGAGTTTCTTTTGGCCACATGCATCAAAATATTTTGTTCATGGTAAACCCAAATCATGGGATTCATGTGGGGACGGCAAGTGGAGGAACGACGAGGGAGAATCGGAGCTGCGAGTATTTTCTTGACGAGGACGCAATGCGAGAATTTTTTGAGGAGCCATGACGAGCAGCATAGGTAGCGCAGCGCGCCCAAGTTAGGGCCTTACTACACTACCGGCAGCCCGCACCAAGCTCCTGGCTATAAGAAAACCAGGTTTTCGTAGGCCTAAGTTGGCCAGCTGGAGAGAATTCCATAACCTCTACCACACTACCAGTAGTGCCTTTGGAGTGAAAAGGGAAAAATATGTCTACTAATTGCAACGCAGCGGTGAGAAGTCTTTGGAAGAGTAATCCAGGAAGGCGCGAAAATACACGTGGAGTCTATATATTCCGAAAAAACCGGATTTCCAGTCGGAAGTGCCTGGTAGTTTTGAGAAGTCGATTTCTTTGCCACCTAGGATATATCAAATTGCCGCTCCCTCCCGTGTGGTAAAGGGGAAACCTCGGGTGCCAATAACAAGCGAGGATTCGCTGCCGCTGCCGGTCGTGTGGTTTGGCCCTTAGACGCAAAAGCTAGCGAGCAAGGGAGCAGATGCCTACATCACATCAAACGAGGTGCGCAGCAGGTGGGAGGAGGAGGAGGTGTGCCAGACACGAGAGGAAATGCAGAGTTTCGAGAGACGGAGTGGAAGCCAAATGCAGACGAGGGCAGATCAGTTGGGCTTGCAGTTGAGCTCTTATTAGTTGTTCCTTTACTCATGTTAGCATAATCACTTCAGATATCTCGAGTGGTTGTCATCAACAGCCTTCAACGAGGTAAAGAACGCTCTGCTACCAACACTTGAAAAAGCTTCGCGAGTATGCTTTCAAGGTCTCGTCGCTTTGGGGAATCACCCAATCGCAGACTCTAACCTCTCTACCTTTTTTTACAAGGAAGTCTATATCAGAGATCTCGGATAACATCGTCTCGGTCCAACGACTCCTTCCGCCCAGCTTAATTTTTGGATTTAATATCGGGTACAACCCTCTACCGGTACTTGTATCCAATCCGACTCAAACTCGGATTTTCGAGTTTAACCCCAACCCGATCCGAGCTCTATTTGTAATACATAGTATAAAGTCTTAAAACTTTTTTGAAATTCAAACTATATGAAAGTAGAAAAGTTATAAAATTTCTTATATGATATAATTTTACCAAAATAAGAACATTTATCAATTTTGAAACTTATTATTTTATAACACAATTTATAATTTTTTTAGAAAATGATTCAAAATAGAATACTAATTTTTTTCCATAACTTTATTTTTTCAAGCTTGTAATAATTTTAATCATTTTTATTAACCCAAATCATCTTTCAATTGAAATTGATGTATCTTATCAATCTATCAAGTTTTTTTAAGATTAAAACTCAGATGATCTAATAATCTTTCATCATAATTAAGTATATTTGGAATTAAAAAATCAGATGATTTAATCAATCTTTCAATATGTTTAAATATTTTTGAGATTAAAAAATCAGATCACAAAGAAAGAAATTCGATTTACCCATGTAATGCAGTATAATCCTCAATTCTCACCAACAATAAGAAATTGATTCTCATCATTCACTTGAAGCTTTTCATCACACTTAGTCAACAAAAAATCTGTTTCATAATCATGCCTAAGATCAAAAGTTAATCCTATGTCATGACTTCAACCACAATTATGTACTACCACTTTTTATTTGAAATTCTAAATCTTGAATTTCTGTCTATCTTTAGAAAATGATTTGAAGTTCGCCTTCTTCACTTGATCCAAATGTTCATCCAATTGTGGGAAATTTCCCCGCTCGTTATGGTCTATAAAATCATCCAATTATATTTTCATTATCTTTTTAGATGGCCTCTATGTTCGAGAATGTGTAAGCTATAACTCTCTTTCAGCTTCACCAGGTCACGATGACGATGGTCCTAGAATGAATCGGAAAGGCTGCTGGCGGGCCGCCCTTTGCATTTCCCAAGCTGTCGTTGCCGAGGTCAGAAAGTGGCACTCTCGCCCGAAGAATAGAGCTCAGAGTCAGAGAAGCAGAAATCAGTAACAGTGACTCTGAACGTACAAACGATGAACATATATTTTGGAAGTGGAGCTTCCAATTGACAGCAGATGCTGTGATCTGAGGATAGGACGCCTTCTTACTTCTTCTCAGGTTATGAACAGTTTCAGAGGGACTTTCAGGTGGCAGAGAACGAACTTGCGATCCTTGACTCCGTGAACGAATTCTGCGAAAGTGGAGCAATGACAGTTCTCTCCCTCCCACTTCTTAATTGGAGGGCATTTGAGACGATTGCAGTCATCGATCAGCTGCAGAAAGTATGCCATGTCGGCTGTCGACCAGGCGTCCACCTTGATGCTCTCGGGTGATTGGAAGTGTACCGAAGAGGTGACTCCTTCACGTATCGGAGGTTGAGCTAGAGCTCGATGATTCTCCTTATCGAGGGTGAATTCTATAGCCTGCGATGTTCCTGGACCGACCTTCTGTGGCACCGGAATACTGCAAACGATGGGTTCGACCCTGTCGACGTTTGTCCTCTTCAGTCTGATGTTTATGGCCATCACCAGCTGGTTCACCTGTTTCACAGATGCCTCGCCGGTTACAAAATTATCGCACTGAAATCGCGTCGACACCGTTGCCATGAACGTGTACCAAAATGTCCTCCATTCCCTTCGGCCAGCTTGCAGGATAATGAACTTGACCAACCTCGATGCCCAGTACTGCGTGAATTTCCAGATCATGTTTGCAGAGTAGGAGAGCAGATCCATCGCAATGATGAAAATACTGAGAATCACGGACCAAAAGTCGTACCCGCGAGCTTGCAAAATGAGAGGCCAGATCGAGGCGAACCTCAAAAAGTTCTGGTTCAGTACTTCATTCGAGCTGCAATCGAAAAAACACTTCAACGCGGGTCGTACGTTGTAGCCCTTGCCCTCCAGCACGGCGTAGACGACATCGTCGAACCTCTTCCTGCGGATCAGATGTGTTCCTGGCCACAACAGATCGTCATCACTCCCGAATCTCAGTTTCATCATCAACGAGGTCTCCTGTAGGATCCGCATGTGCCTTGCTCGGAGTTTCGACGTCACGTAAATATTGGGGTCGGCGGGATTAAAGGAGAGAATGACAGGGACATCCTCTGCTGCGATGACATCGGGTGACATGTCCATTGAAATGGCGGTGACTTCCAAGGGTGTGCTACCCTTAGCGAGGACATCTGCCGTCTGGGGCTCCTTGTCGACCTCGCTCTCCGGATTAATCATAATCAGACTGCGCTTCTCGAGCCAGGAATCCAGGCCGTGCCATAGGGACGAAAGCAGCACGTAGGGCAGTCGGAAAAACTTGGCGGTGCGAACGAACTGCCACACTGCGTAGACCATCTGAAACCAGAGCAGGAAGCTCTGGACCTTCTGAAAGGTCGGACTCAAATTGGGTCTGACGAAACTCATGGTGGTAGCCTTGTCGAGCACAATGTGCCGAACTTGCAAGGTTTTCGGAGCTCATATTCGCGATGGTTGTAACGAAGACCCTCGCACCTGCTTCCTGTGGGGTCAGCTCAGGCCGAATTCAGGCTCTAGTTGCTCCCCAATACGTCCTCGTCGCGTAGTCCATCGCTCGAGTGCACGAACGAAGAACGGAGAGTGACATGGTACTGTAAGAAACGGTGAATCTAGGTCTCGATAGAATAAAAAATTGGTAATATATCTGATCATTGGTCTCGCCTTCTCTGCGACAGCTAGATACTGTTGCAAGAAAGCGCAAGGGAGGAATACTACGACTTTAGTGGCAGAAAAATTGAAATAAATTATGTTATTGTATTCAGTTGGTGCATCTGGTGACAGACACTTTAGAAACGTGTATCAATAATGTTATCTACAGAATAATATATATCTATATGTTTGCCAACGTAAATATATAAAGCTATTTATGATATTTGATAACAAAGATAATATCATAAATTATATTTGAAATCATACTTATAATTATATACAGTTCTGATTTACATGGATAAAAGGTGGAAAAAGGGTACTAACCCATATGATATTTCAGTTGAATCAATAGTTTTTTCAAATGATTCACCGTATAGTTTACATTTCAGTATTGTGTACAGTAGACGTGAATTAACCACGACTTCGAAAAGGAATTAACAAATGGCCAACCCAATAGCGAATTCCACCGTTAAATCAAACAAAGTAATATTTTCGAGAATTGTCAATATGTAGTCATTGAACAAAAATTATACATTCCTGAGAGTAACAATGTCCATTCGTTCGATACAGATTCCATGTTTAATGACAGCAGTCGGTCGCAGACGAGTGCGGACACAGATTGCTGCGCGTGATGGATTAAACCAGTTATAGATAGTAGACTTGGAAATGATGGACTTGGAACTCTGAACGTTTTCTGTTGCTTGCACAATCCCATGGAGTAGAAACTAGAGGCATCGCCTTCTCTTGCAAGTGTTCATTCAAAGCAGGACGTTCGTAGCTTCTTACAGTTCCATGAGAGGCTTCAGTGGAACTCATTCAATCCAATCCTTCCAAGCTTGGTTCTCGAAGGATCATTCAAATGCACAGCACTATTCCTGGCTCACTTTTGAGACTCAAAGTCGATTCCCCTCACAGAGATTGTGTACATGGCTTTCACTGCCTTTCACATCCGATTGCGACCCGATGAGGTCGTTCGGATTCGGATTCCACGTTACGAACTTTTCGGGTTACACGATCCTCGTGTAACCCGAAGCACACATCCATGCACATGTTCTGACAGGCTTGGGTACCCTCGTTAAAGAGAGAGAGAGACTTGAGCCAAAAACTTCTATTCAAGAATGGGAGATCTGTCGGACTTGTTCACGTCTCCATCGAAAGCAGCGTGGATCCTAGTGTGCACTCTTTAAGTCTCTTTTCACACGAGTCCGGCGTTTGGCCTTGCGACAAGGTGACAAACTGCGAGGCCTTGTTCGAGCGACCAAAACAAACAAACAAACAACTAAAGGGAAACAACAGCCTTGCCCCGAGGCTGTTGTTTGTTTGTGCCTTGCCCCGAGGCCGGGCACACCAATGTCCAGCCGCCTCCTAGCCTAATGTGGAGACTTCCAGTGGCCGGCTGCGGGAGAAATTTTCTCTCCAAAACTCCCAAGAAAGCAATCTCTCTGTGGAGTGGACATTACTCGATCGTTTTCGGTAAAGCCGAGGTTTGACCGAAGTTCGACCAAACGCTGTGCATCCATCTATTTATCCATCTTGAAAAGAAGAAGCTGGAACACTTCAGCGTACAGCCTTCAGGAGAGCCCTTCACTACAGAGTAAAACCTCCCAATAGTGTCACTTCCAGAATCATTAAATTCTAACTTGTAAATCTGCTCAATAAGAATAGGACGACACTATTGCTAATAGTGATGTAATACTATCTAGTGACAGTGTAGTTTCGAAGGTAAATTTCCTATCATGATCACAATACATAGCTATGAGAAAAAAGAATCTGACGGCGTTTTTTTAAAGATCTATCTCAACAATTCACTCTGTCTCGGCTTCAGTAAAATACTTTCTTACATATTATCATCATTAACGTAGACGTTAATTCTTACATAAGATTAACGTCTACGTTAATCCTATGGATGTGCAAATGAAGGCCATTTTGTAACCAAACAGAACACATTTATAGAATGCCCTAGGACTGATATAATGTATGAGAAGAAGTCTATCCACTTTCTTCTTATAAATGACCCCTCCCAATAGTGACATCTATGTTACTATTGGGAGGTTATATTCAAGATTAAACACCTCTCAATAGTAACATTTAACTATAACACCAATGCATGTTACTATCAAAGGTTGTACTCAAGGTTAGTCACTTTACTCTTGTGAGTGACACCTCCCAACAGAGACGGAAAATCTTGGCAACAATGTACATCCTTGGGAAGTTAACTCTCTATAGGGAAAAAGTTCGGTGGGAGAAATCTATTTGGTCACTGGACCTTCGGCGATGTTACTAATACCCAGGTCTCTCCAGAGAAACTTTCCTTATTTTCCGGATTACAACAAAATAAGGATTATCATCGAAGTAAAATACCACCCAGGCCTCTCCAAATAGGGACTTTATTTACATTCCGTATTACAACAAAATAAGGATTATCATCTAAATAAAATACCGCCCAGGCTTCTCCAAACAGGGACTTTCCTTATGTTCCGTATTACAACAAAATAAGAATTATCCTCGAATTAAAATACCTAATATACGGAGTTTAGCATAAATCTCTTCAATAATGTCCTTATTTGACTGCAATGTAATACACCTTCGAGAGATATGGGCGTTATTTTTTTTTCGGTGAAGTTAGTTTTCCAATTTCAAATTGCTTTTTAGGGTGGCGATGGTTGAAGATGAAGCCTATCATGAATACTCCACTAAAATCTGTCAAACGATCTAAGTCATTGAGAAGTCAATGTTCGCGGTGAACAAAGACCAAAAGTTGCTTGTGTTCTTCCACTATTTGAACCATTGTCGTTTTGTTGCCAAGAAATTTCCAAACTATTTTGATATATGATAACTAATTGAACAACATCACTTGTTTTCAGAATTGCAAGTTCATGAGTCAAACAAGAAATCAAAATGTTGAAACTCTCCTGGTTCAACGTATCATTTAAGAACCTTGTTTAGATGGCAAACTGTTTCCAAACAAAATGACCAACTGTATGCATAATTTCACGTCTTGACTTGGATGCCAAAGATTTTCAATTGAAAGATACCATGATTTTCAATTAATTCAATAATTTTAACAAGTTCTTCATGTCCCAAACATACACAACTTGAGAAGTAGAGAGTATAATTTAACATATATTTCGGTTGAAGCGGATTTGCATGTTTGCTTGGCAGCAGGTTTAATGAAATCCATCAAAATTTAATGAACAAAAGTATAGTTAAAATAATGATGCGAGCGACTTTTAAGAGCCTTCACAGGTGTGCTGAAATTATAACGTAGAACTTTTATCACTCTCTAGTTAGGCCAGGTAGATGAAAAAAAATGTTACTTTGTGGAAACCAATTACGGAATATACGGATCTCCGTATTTAGAGAGGCCTGCTAATACCCCAACTGCAGATTCGTCACGGCCAGTGATTAGCGGATGCCTTTAAGCACCGATCGGCCAATAGCCTTCCGGCTGTTATCGACAACGCTCACCCGAAGCTCTCCTGATTAGGAAGAACGGGGAAAAAATTAATTTGTATCATGTACTCGGGATCCGCCATTCGTCATCCGACTCTGCCCTCGCAGCCAAGCCTCCTTTCGCGACTACTGGTTGCCATGGATGACGTATGTCAAGAGGTCGCAAATCTCTATGATTGACCCCTCCTTGCAGATGTGATGCGAACGAGGTGGCGTTCCTGGCGAGGCAGACACTCGCATTGCGGAGCCGACTCCGTGATCGGGGACGTTCGCCCAAGCTGTTTGACGATTTTGGAACTCTGAACTTCATGAATACACAGAGTGCACCTCTGTGCACTAGAAACACCATAGCCCGCCAGGCAATCCAAGCAAGCAATCGATTCCGCCCGTGAGGCCAGCAAGCTAGGAAGCCGAGTAGCCGGACTTTCACCGGAGAGGTTTCTGGTATGCATTCATGGCAACCATTTCATCGCGGTTCGAGTGCCGGAATTTCGTGACGGCCAAGACGTCTTCGAAGGAGGTAAGGACAGTGTTGGTTGCAACTCACATCAGACTGGAGAAGGGCAGGATTGCTCGTCTCAGGCCTGTCGAGTGCAGCATCGAAGTGCCGAGAATGAGGGAGGCCGGCGCGGGCACGGGCGCAGAGAATTGCTTTCGAGCTCGATGGCATCTGTTACTTTGCATTGGCGCAGCCTGCTCTGACTGATGCACGAGCTTCTTCGGTCCTCTTTCGGGCACCCGAGGAGGTGAAGGTGACGAACTGGTCGCTCGAAGACATGGCCTATTTTCTGCAGGTGCGCGAATATTGTGACAAGCTCAAATGCTCCCCGATCCAGGCCCTGGAAGATCCCGATGCTCTGTACTCGAGCTTCGCGGAAATCGTTAACTGGGTCATGAGCCGGAATTTCGTCCTGTGTGAGTTCGCGAGTCCGCATAACTTGTTCCTCACGTGATCGAGAATCTTTCGAGAATCTTTTGCGGATCTGATTCATGCCTTCGTCGTCGTCTTCGATCTCACAACTGCGCCCCTAGTTTCTACACAACTCTTGGGTGGAGGGTGGGGGGCGCTGAGCTGGCATCGACAAGTGGGACAAGTTTCTCGGGGTCGGGTCGGGTCGGGAGAGAGGCTCGTGCCTCTCTCCCGACGTTGATGAGCGATCACAGTCCCGAAAGGCGCTTTACGTTGCCGCAGATAATAGCCTAGTCATCGAAATTGCGGATTGACCGGCGGTCGGAGGACCCAGCGTGTTATCCTTCGTAGTGCTCGATGGGTGTCGCGAGCAGGAGAAGGCAGTGAGTGGCCAAATTGCGATTCAGTTTCGGTGTCACAGACCCCACAAGAGACTCAGTCACTGACAGTCGCACGCTCTGTCTGACCAGTCAGAGCTTGCGATTAAATGACGTCGGCAGCCGAGGCTGCGATCAAGATGCATTCAACACGATGGCCGCATTTATTGATCTTGGCTGACCGAGACCGTCTGGTTCAAGCTGACATGACCGGACACAGGCATGAAACGTTGACTTATGTTACCATGAGATTTATGAGGTCAAGACCTTCCGCGCAAGTGTGGACCCTTAGAGTCAGGGTTTTCAAGATATTGTCTTGCCGGCCGATATATGAAGATCTTGGCGGAGAGTTGAGTCCAGGCATAGGGAACTTGAGGGCCAGAGTGCTGTACACCCTAACCTCGATAATGTCACCTAAAAGTTTGAAATCTATTATTCTCCTGTAAAATTCTCTCTTTGTCATTATCACCCTCGATAAAGTCAAAATCTTTAATGTAAATATGATGATATCAAATATAAATGGATTATATAGTAATAGAAATATCAATCTTTAGTGTTATAATATCAAGTATAGATGAATTTTATAATAGCAAAAGAGTAATGAGCCCTACCGCGAGAAACAAAATGCTATTTTTAGTGTCGTGAGACGCCCCCTTGCACCAACCTTCGATCTTACACACGATCTTCGATCTTATAGTATGGATGTCAATCGTTAGAGTAAATGTGATAATATCAAGTATGGATGGATTGTACAGTAGCAAAAGGGTAATGAGCTGCCCCTGTGATAAACTAAATGCTATTCTAAGTGTCGTGAGACGCCCCCTTGCACCAACCTTCGATCTTACACACGATCTTCGATCTTACACACGATCTTCGATCTTATAGTATGGATGTCAATCGTTAGTGTAAGTGTGATAATATCAAGTATGGATGGATTGTACAGTAGCAAAAGGGTAATGAGCTGCGCCTGTGATAAACTAAATGCTATTCTAAGTGTCGTGAGACGCCCCCTTGCACCAACCTTCGATCTTACACACGATCTTCGATCTTATAGTATGGATGTCAATCATTAGTGTAAGTGTGATAATATCAAGTATGGATGGATTTTACAGTAGCAAAAGGGTAATGAGCTGCGCCTGTGATAAACTAAATGCTATTCTAAGTGTCGTGAGACGCCCCCTTGCACCAACCTTTGATCTTACACACGGCACTTGCATCAATCGACAATGTTCAAACCTGCAGTCTGAGCAACAAGAAGTGGACATGCCCATCCAGCATCCGAAGCACTCTTCCCAATGCCGCCTTGTGCATCAGTGATTCAAGTACCGAAGTGATGAAAACTTTGCTGGCTTCGCTGAGGGAAAGAAACTGCCGACATTGGATAGGAAATTTCGGCCTGCATAACTAATTCAAGATGGACGTATGGAGAGGGCTGGAAGACTGAAAAGGTCCCTATAGTTTTTCTTCCTTATTCTCCCGATATTATCTACCTCATGTACAGGTTTTCCTTCTGTTTCCTTCCGCCTTGCTTTTTCCCTTTCCGTCTCTTCTCCCATGATGCAAAGACGTGCTTAATTCTAAGTTTTTTTTGTTATTTCCCTGGTTGCATCTACTGTACCGTGGTGGTTGATTTTGTTCTTCATTTATTTTGGGCTTCGGCGTTCTCTTAACATGTAACAGATTTTTCCTAGAACTGTAACACTAGGGTTTAGAGAGAAGTTCACTCGAAGATAGAAACGTAAACTCTGAAGATGAGAGATACCAACAATGGTTCTCCTCTCCCTTATATAGCTCTCACCAACAAGTACAAGGTGATAAGATCTAATCCCCACCATCCATACCACTCCTAGTGGATGGATGACGTGGCGGATAACCCTAACAAGCACACGGATCGCTGACGTGGCGCACCCAACTAACACACTAACTAACACACTCAATCCTTACCTACAAGCACACGGATTGCTGACGTGGCACTGTCAACTAACACATCCACTCTGTACCTACCAAGTGCGCGGATCGCTGACGTGGCAGCTATGACTAGTGCACACTAAAGTATCTACATCAATATTCAGAGTAACCTCTACTTTAGTTCTAACTAACTAAAGATGGTTACAAACCTCCCTCCTTTTAAGATGCAACGTCCTCGTTGCACATACGTTCAAACTCCTGAACTATCAAAGGTGCATTTGCTAAATTTTTAGCTGGTTCCCAAGTTGATTCATACGATGGATAGCCTTTCCATTGAATCAAATACTCTACTTTGGGATATTTATGACCTCGAATACGTTTCTTGAGTATCTTTTCTACCTCAAACTCCTCATGATCTGCTATCAAGGTTGGAAGAGGAGGTGGTGCTGGTTGATTGGTGAATTGTTTTGGTCGTGGTACATGTTTTCGCAATCGTGACACATGAAATACTGGATGTATTTTCATATGTGACGGAAGTTCCAACTTGTATGACACTTCACCAACACGCTTCAAAACCAAAAATGGACCAATGTACCTAGGGTTTAACTTTGGTGTTCCTACAAGAGACAAATTCGTTGTAGATAACCAAACATGATCTCCAACCTCAAAAATCACTTCTCTACGATGAGCATCGGCATGCTGCTTTTGCCGATTTTGAGCTATCACCAACTTCTCCTTGGCCTGATGTAGTCCTCGGTGAATATGCTCCACGAATTCGTTGACTGCTGCAACTTTGGTCGAAAACTCCTCTCCTTTCGGAAGTCTCATCAAACTTGAAGGAGTTATCGGATGAGCTCCATACATAAGAAAAAATGGAGACACTTTTGTGGATGCATTAACAGAATTGTTATATGCAAATTCCACAAGTGGCAAAAGGTTGTCCCACTCTTCTTGCTCTTGTAATGTGAATGCTCGTAGCATATCCTCTATGGTTCTATTTGCCCTCTCAGTTTGTCCATCAGTTTGAGGGTGATAGGCCGTTGACATTGCTAGTTTTGTTTTGAAAAAACTAAACAAAGTTTTCCAAAATAAACTAGTGAAGTGAGTACCTCTATCCGTGATTAACACTTTGCTTAAGCCATGATTCACAAAAACTGCGTCTAGATACAATTGAGCTAGTTGTGGAGCTGTTACTGTTTTTGTGGTTGGCCTGATGTGAATCATCTTGCTCAATTTGTCCACAAAAACCACCACTGAATCATGTCCTAACGAAGTCCTTGGTAACTCACATACAAGATCCATGGTGACATGTTCCCACCGCTGTTCGGGAATAGGAAGAGGTTGTAATAAACCCGCTGGTTTTTGATTACTTGCCTTGTTTTGTTGACAAGCAACACAACTTCGAACGTAAGACTCCACATCCTCACGTATTTTGGGCCAATAGTACACTCGTTGTATACTCTCCACGGTTTTCTCCACTCCCACATGACCTGCAATGGCTGTATCATGACTTTCTGCCAAAATCATTGTGCGCAAATCGTGATCTTGTGGAATCCATATACGCTGATTATAAAACGCCAAACCTCGAGATTTCTCTGCCTTTCCAGTTTGTAGTGCTCGAGTGATCTCTTCATCCTCCTTTGTGGCTTGTGACATCTTGCTCCACCAATCCGCCTGAATTTTCACTTCTGCAACATGATTCAAACAAGGCATGCGTGTGAGAGCATCTGCAAGTTGCTTCTTTCCCTCCACGTACACAATCTTCATGTTGAAGCGTTGACGCCACTCTGCCCATCGAATTTGTCGTTTGGACAGATCCTTCTGAGTTTCCAAATAAACCAAGGGTTTATGATCAGTCTCCACCACAAACTCCTTATCACCCAGATAATGCTTCCAATGTTTGGTTGCCAACACGATAGCTAACTCCTCCCGTTCTGTCGTGTGATAATTTTGTTCCGCCGCCACCAACTTTCGAGAATAGAAAGCAACTGGATGCCATCCATCCTCCCATTCTTGTTGAAGTATGCCACCTACTGTTGTACCTGATGCGTCAGTGGCCAACTTGATAGAACGGTTAGGATCATACCACTTGAGAATAGGTGCGTGTAACAAAGCATCTTTCAATGCTTGAAAAGCTAACTCTTGAGCTGTTCCCCATCTCCACTTCTGACCTTTCCCTAACATGGAAGTCAAGGCCTGAGCTAGTCGAGCAAAACCTTTCACAAATCTACGATAGAATCCAGTGAGCCCTAGAAAACTCTTCAATTGAGTTTGATCCTCAGGTGCTATCCATTTCTGAATGGCATCTATCTTCTCACTCATCACTTGGATTCCTGTAGCTGTAACTCTATGACCCAAGTAATCTACTTCTGACTTGCCAAATTCACATTTTGAAGCTTTGGCATACAATTGATTGTCTCTTAAAACTTGAAGTACCTCTCGTAAATGACTTCTATGATCACTCAAAGTTTTGCTATACACCAATATATCATCTAGAAAAACAATGACAGATTTATCTAGATAAGGGCGAAAGATATCGTTCATCAATCCCATGAATGTAGCTGGTGCATTAGTGAGACCAAAAGGCATCACCAGATACTCAAAGTGTCCATACCTAGTACGAAAAGCTGTCTTGTGAACATCTTCATCTGCAATTCGAATTTGATTGTAGC